CACCCCTTGTCCGGCCACCCCCACTGCCCAGTCCCGCTCCCGGCCGCGGCGGCCGCAGCAGCCGCAGCAGCAGCGGCCCCAGGATGGTGAGCACCGCCGCCCCCCAGCCCTGGCCCGTCGCCCCCGGCCTGAGTTCCCGCCCCGGTCCCTGGGCCGGACGCCCCCCCAGGCCGCGCACACTCACCTAGGACCCGGCCGGGATGCCGAGGTAGGCTTCGCGGGCCGGGGTTGGGGCGGGCGCGGGATCCCGAGGGCCGGCGGGGGTCAGGGGGTGGTGACTGCTCCGTCCGGGTGCCCAGAGCTTTGTCCGCTGGCGCGGGGCTGCGCGAGGGCCGGAGAGGGTGGGGGCTGCGGGGCACGGGCTTCAACCAGGCAGAGGTCGGAGGGCAAGGCCGAGAGAGACCCGAACGGCTGCGTGGGAGCCCAGGGTCACTTCCCGGGGGGAGGGGGCGGCCGGGGATGGGGATCGCCCCTGGGCTGCCCACGGGCACCCTCTTCGCCACCCCGGGTAGTGCCGAGGTGGTCCGCGGTAGCGAGAAGCCGGCTCTGGGGAGTCTTCCGGGCTTGGGGTGGGGTGGGAGCCAGGATTTGCGGGTTCGGGTCCCTGAAGGATCAGGGGCCGGAGCCCGAGGGCCGACCCGCAGGCCCCTCCCACTCCGTCAGGTCTTTGTCCAGCGGACCCTGTGTGTGCGGGAGGGGGTGGGGGCTGGGTTACTGGCCTGGAGATTCCCCAGCATCGTGACGGGGCAGTGACAGGAGACTGAGGCTATTTCGGTCCCTGCGCCCCGAACGCGCACTCCCTTCCTCTCTCTCAGCCCGGGGCAGCAGAGTTCTAATTCAGAGTTAGGGTGTTGCACTAAGTAGCTCAGACTTTCACCCTCCGGCCGCTGGCTACGAGGAACCCCCTGAAGTTCCCAGCCCTAGCGAGGGCCCCTTAAACTTCCCCAGCCGTAGAGCCCATTCCAGCTTTACACAGATCCTCACGTAGGAGCCCCTTGGTAGAGGGTCCCTCGTAGATTGTTGGGTACACAGTAGGTGCTTAATAGATGTTGGCTTGCTACCCGACCTGTCACGTCCGTGGTCCCCACTGGCGGAGGGCCTGCGGAGTGGGTGTTCAGTGCGGGGGCGAAAGGGAGCGGCCAGGAGCCTGCGCCCCGCGGCGGCCCGGAGCGCAGGGGTGGGTGGGAAATCAGGATTAGGCCGTGGGGCTGTCAAGCTGCCGGCCTGTCTCCATGGATACCTAATTTGGAGGAGAATAGAGGACGGAAGAATGTTTGTGTTGTTCGCACGGGCTGCCGCGGTGGAACGGGCTCCTGCTCTCAGCCCCGCGGCGAGGAGTGGGGCACCCAATTCCGTCCCGGCTTTGGGTTATGGTATAGGGGCTTCTCGGTTTCCGGGGCGCGAAACCTCCCGGAACCGCCCAGTATTTGGAATGGGCCTGGAGATGCTGCAGTCCAAAGACCTCTGACCCTGCAGGGGGAGATGCGGACACTTCCAGAGTTCAGTCCGAACCTCGTGAGCATCCTCCCAGAACCGCTCCCCTCCCAGAGCCTCCTAGGCCAAGAGCGGACGCCGTTCTCTGCTGGGCCTTAGCCCCCTCAAGGGCAGACGTAATAGGCTGCTCGAGGTTGCAGAGCCGCCGGGTCCCAGTATCCGGGAATGAGTACTCAACGGCGGAGAGAGCTCTGGGCAGGGTGGGGCTTTTGGGTCACCGAAGAAAGGGGAGGGGCTTGCCTGGACGGCTCCTCTGGATGGTCTGACAGGCCTCGTAAATCCCCCTTACCCATATTTAACACCATTTCATTTATTTCCACTTGATTCCACTGGTGCCTGCAGCAGCCAGAGGCGACCCTCGTGCCTTTTCTTCACTAACTTCTGGGCTAAACCTTCTTGGACCAAAGGGAATTTAGTTGTTTGCAGTAGAGTTGCTTCTGGTCAGGCCTAGATAACCTCCAGTCCTCAGCACCCCCCACCCCATCTTCCCAGGAGAAGAGGGGCAAAGTGACAGAGAGATGCGTTGTCCCTTTGAGGCTCCACAGTCTTTGGCAGTCTGTGACAGTGACTGGACTGAGGGTTCCTTAGAGAATTCCAGTACACAGCCGAGGTCAGGGGAAGGGAGAGGGAGACAAGAGAGAGGGACTCAGACCCTAGCATAGTGTTCCAGAGTCTTTTCCTGCCTTCCCCCTGGTCATCCATGGCCACAGCTTTTTATGGATCAAGAGTCCCTCCGCTCCCCTCCCCTCCCTGGGCCGCAGCTTTATTGCTAGATCTCAGGCTCTCCACGCAATTTCACGCCTCTCTGCCTTTGCTCCTGCTGTTCCTTCAGCCAAATGCCTTCCCCATTGTCCCTGTCTTGCCACAATCTCCTCATTCTTCAAGGCCTAGCTTGGATGCCACATCGTCCCCCTGGGTAGCCTCCTCAGAGTCTCCAGCTCTTGTCACTTGCCCCTCCCTCCACAGACCCTTAGCCCTGCACCTGTGCCTCTCTTCCTCCATTGTGGCTGTGTCCAAACTAGGCTCTGCCTCTAGGCCAGCATATATACTCATGCCCCCCTGCCCCATAGGGCTTGGTACCTTGTAGGCGTCCTGCAAATACTGACTGGCTGAGTAAAAGGAGTTTTGTAAAGGGCTTTAGCCAGGTGCAAAGCCTTGAATCTAGTCACTTCCAGGAAAGAGGCCTGCCCTTCTGCATGGTGGAGACCCCTGAGTGGCTCCACTCCTTTTCTTCCTCCCACTTCTCTCCTCCTCCTCCTCAGTGACCCTCCCCACTCCCTGAGTCCAGGGAGGACTTTGCCCCTTTCCTTCCCCACAGACCAGCATTCTTTCCCCGACATTATCACCCTGTTAAACAGAGAGGCAAGTCAGGATCCATATGGATTACATTAACAATTACTTACTGCCACCACCAGCTTCTACTTCCTCAGTTCTGGATCCTGAGGAGCCCTGCCTTCCCTCTCCTGTCCATTGGTCCATTGGTCAGGAAGGAGGGCAGGGGACAAGTTGGTTGGTTCCCCTCTCCATCTCTCTGAGCCCTCTAGTAGAACTCTGTCTCTTCTTGCCTTGGCATTTAATGACTCTGTCACCTTATTTAATGAAAACTAGGGTCTGTACAGAAGCCTGACTCAGGAAGGTTCCAGGGCTGTGTCCTGAAAGGCAGACCATAGTTGGGCACACCTGTGGTCTGTTGCCTTGAGATCTGCCTGCCAGTGGACAGGAGCCAGAGACAGGAGTGAGCCACTCTCTCTCTGCTGACCTCCTGGGATCTTAGACTTGGATTGACCCGCTCTATCCTGGGATCTGGAGAGCTAGTGAGGGACAGCAGGGCAGAGAGACCCCGTAAGGCTGTGTGGCATTGAATTCCAAGGCTTTCCCTGCAAAGAAACAAGATGTAGGACTGGGGTAAAACTGGGTGTGCTTCACACTTGTAATCCAAGCTCTTGAGCAGCTGAGACAGAGAA